AGCTCAGCTATCTGTTCACCTTTGCGTCAGGGCGGGTGTTAGGAGATGGTAGGTCAAAAATGAAAGAAGACGAAGGATGGCCGAGGCCTTATTTCCCCCCAAAATGGAGTGCTCCCCTCAAACGTGGTGTGTACATTAAAGCAAGCACAAATCGCTTTTGCTTGCCTTCATCACAGAACAGTGCATCAACTTGTGAGTAGTGTCGTTCGTTTTCAATAAAATCATTCATACAGCTGAGCACTTCCTGGCCCGTCTAAAGGGCATAATCATCCTTCAGATGGCAAAACAATCTGCCATACAGAACCCATAAAGAGTTCATGCATTGCCCTCTAAACCCGAATTACTGTTCACACTCCCATTCCTGAGGGTAGCTGGTCTCTGTTCGCTCATTTCAATCCCACCCTGCCTCGTGTCAGGAGAAGGGTGGTGAGGAGCACGATCTGAAATAGGTGCCATCAAGCACACCCAATGGCATATAAACTTCTCTGGTGACTGGGTGTCAAACCCCAACTTGGAAACAGTTCAAGAAATCTGCAAAGCCATGACAATTGCCCATCTTTTGTCGCTAAAAGTGGTCTCGGAGGCTGTCACCATTTCTTGATCAAAAACATTTGCTCACAGCAGGTCACATTAAGCAATGTAAATACTGTGGCTAGTCTCCAATAATTCTACAATTTTGTGAATAGGCCACATGACGACGCCAGGCAAGTTTACTTGCCAGTGCCTCCTACAGGGTTTTTTCTCTTCACGCCCTGGTCTATCCCATCACCACCTCCAGCAGAACTCGAAGTCAAATCGTGTTCATCTTGACGACGCGTTGCCATCCCACTAAATCGTCAACGAAACCAGTGGCCTTTGGGACAGACAAGCCCGACCTCTACTAAATCATACATTATCAACAGGATTGTCGACTAGGTAAACACAGGGAAGACGAAATAGAGTAAAATAATTATTTGAGCTTATGATGAGGTTACTAAATTTATTAGTGAGCTAGAGAAGGAAGATAGATTGCCATTTCTGGATGTTCTAGCGGACAGAGAAGGAGATGTGCCCGGGAATCCAAGACAAGAAGGTTTCTTTCTTATCTTCCTTCAGAATCAGAAAACGTTTGCACTCGATGATTATAAGAAGTCATATTATCGTGTGATCAATTGGTATATATTCGGGAGATATTAATTCAAAACAATCATCCATTAGGATTATTGGAAAATTTTTATTTCTTTATTTTTATACGAATATCTCAAGAGACTGTAAGTCCTTCTTGAAAAAGAACTTTGTTGGCCTTAGCCCCTGGAGTAGATGAAAGGACTTTTAATTGAGTGTTGCTTATAATTAATAGATTATGCCGCATGATTCAATTGCATTTCACTTATCCTGCGGTCTCGATCCCGTCTAGTTTACACCAGCAACCCCAGCGGGATTCTTGCTCAGGTCTAGAGTATTCTGGAGATATTTGCGAGCCACTTGACTACACTGAGGTGAAATAGATGCGACGTTCAAGGTAAGCCATGCTGCTTTCAACGTTCATTGTATGGTGGGTATGTCGATTAAGCCAACGCGTGTCTGCCATTAAAATCGAGGATGCTACTTAATTCTAATAAGTAGTTTCCTATTTCCAGAATTTTTCATGATATATATATATATATATATATGAGATGTACTCATCCTATTTCGCTTAGGGTGTGCCACAATGATATTAACAGACATGTCGTTTATATTGAATTTCATATACCCTTGCTTTTCCAAAAGTTATTCTCATCAAGGGTGGACCGCAGGTTCGACCTCGCCCAGCTAGAATATCAGCGGGATTCGAACCATGCCAATACAGCGTGCAATCTCGACACGTTAACGATTCCGCCACGTTGCCACGAGTGCCCTTGGGTCATAGAGCAGATGTGAATTTCAAAATTTCCATATCACATTCTTTGATGGGATTGCCGTTGAAACAATGTTATGCTTAATATAGCAACCGATGACACGATTTATTTTTCATTTTGAGTAGGTCCTTGAGGTTACCAGTAAGAGCTATACGAGGTTGAAAGTGTAGTTCACTCGGGACGAGAATAACTGTTGGCAAAGCGAGGCTGTGTTAAATTCAATGAAAACGTCATGTCTACTCATACTATTGTGGGAAAATACCTTAAATTGATACAGACCGAGCGCTTCTTATGCACACTAGGCACTCTGAGCGAGGCTAGGATTGTGATAGACAGCGAATTCATAACGAAAGAGCTAAAGTGCGAAATTGGAGCGAATAAGCTCGCCTTAGGCCTACTGCTTGGTACCGGCTATGCTCACGTTTTTGCACACCGACAAGGGCCGATCAGGACAACAGGGAGAGAGAGCATTGAGTGATTGCCAATCTAGGCTTTTGCAACTAGGATGGGTCTAGATGGCCTCAGGGATGGGGAACGAGGCGAGACCGGCATGCCATGGGCACTGGCGTGCGGGTGATACCGAGGGCCGGTGTTAATGGGTCGTCCGGAGAGACATGAAAAGAGCCGAACGAAGGCGGTTTATTGGTGAAAACGACAAACCAAGTTACAGACAGGGTTCGAACGAGACGAAATGTACAAGCCAGACCCGATGCTTTCCTGCCTCCGGTCTGCCGGCTCGAGGTGCCATTCGAGAGCAGACGAGCTGCCCACTTTCCAATGCCCGAGGGGCAGGATGTCAGAATTTTGCCACACTTTGTGCGGAAAACTATGGCCGCCCCTCAAAAGCCGCAAGCTATGCCGATTGTGGGCATGAAAACTGTCGGAAAAGGGCTCGAAGTCGCCGGCACAACGACGAGGAGAATAGTCTCTGCCTCTGACTGAAGAGTAGCCAAGAGTCAAGGATACATCGAGTCTACGGGTCTGTGGAATGCGGAATGAGGGTAAAGCATAATTTGTGTGTACAAGTGGAGAGAAGTGTGTTTCGAGGATGTGCATGCATGTATGCATGCATGTGTGTGTGCGTGTGTGTGTGCGTGTGTGTGTGTACAAAAAGCCATAAGTCGGCTGGAGATGGGAGCGTCATGTGAAAATGTCCAAACAGAAGGAAGCTGCTCCGTTGCAGCCTATTCTGCTGCCTCGAGTCGGCGATTTCTACTCGCATCGTGCCCACGCCATACCGGCGACGCATGGTACGTGTCGAGGCCGGTTTCCAACCGATCCGGTCGACCGTGACGGCTACTCGCAGATGCCCGGCGTTCGTGCCGGCTCTCCGAAGAAGCCACCTGGCTGGCCTGACGACCCGAAGCTCGAGACCGCCGTGGCTCCGCTGCTCAACCGGCCTCCGCCCGCACCATCACCACCGGCACCGCCGACACCTGAATTGACTGCGGCCGCTGCTGCGGCTGCCGTGGCAACCGCATGGTCTGTGAGGCTGGACAGTTGGAACCAGGCCTCGAGACGTCGGTATGGCGGCCGGAAGACGGCAAGCCAAATCTCGCGCCGCTCCGCTTTGGCTCCAGCGCCCAGCGTTAGACCGCCGATAAAGTCATTCGTGGGGCCCCGATCAAAGTCCCAAACTGTCACTTCGAGTGTTCGAGAGGCGGCGTCTGAAGCGGCCAGATCGTAGTAGAAGTCCTGAAGTGAATAAATATCATCCCTTGTTGAGTTGATCTAAGGACAAAGTTGCTAATATTATTTATAAGTAGTATTTTGAGACCTAGCAATTGTTTAATTGAGGATACGCAGACCAAGATTATATGGACTTTGGTATGGTCTCAGTCTCCTTTCGATGTTGTTATTATAATTCTTGATACATTCTCAGACGTTTCGCCGGCATCGTCTTGTCGTTCTTCGCACCAGGCTACAACTCATCAATGAGACAAGAAACTTGCATCTGTGACGAGTTGGTCGTCTTTGTGAAAAAACGATCATGTTGGTAATTCTGTAATAGGAACTTTTTTGGCATCGGCTGCTTAAGCTGATTTAATGACTGACAGTTTAGTTTTCTCACTCATCTCATTTCCTTTGACGATATTACTTAGTTACAATGTAAGTAGTTGATGAGTATGTCAGAAAGTCTATAATAAGACTTTGGTCAGCCAAGGTTGCTAAGGTGCTTTAAGAACAGATGTTTGTGTTTTCTCACAATCACATACTTGGATGTTCACTGGTGCTGTGTGGATTAAGGTAAGCCACTGAGTGATAGACCGTCTAGGAAACAAGGCTATGTGAAATTCAATAGGGCCGGTAGTCCTACTCATGTGATTATGAGAAGACTCAACTATCATTTCTTTTTAAATATGCCTAGACTTTCGTCCATTGTCATAGTATTCTTGATAATATTCAATATTTGATTCTCAACTTCATATATTTCCAGACCTTTCGTCGTCAGCGTCAGTGAGAAAATCCTCTATACCAAGTTGCAACTTATCAAGATGACAAAAACTACGATGCCCTCGAAATTTCTGGAAATATATCAAATTAGCGGTCCTATTCTAGAAATGATCATGACTTCTATGGCAGAGAAGGCAAGAATAGGCGTGTTCCACGAGGTTTTCATGTCGCTCTGAAAAAAAAACGTTTCGAAAACCAGATCAAACCGGCTAAAGGAGATTGCGACCAAACAAAAGGCTACACCATCTGTTTTCATAGTTACTATCAGTTCTTAAATAAATGTAGGCAACCGAGGCTGACTACATTCCGATACAAAATTTACTGATAATCTCCGAAGTAAATTATATAAAAAATAAGTCATGATGCACAATGTAATGAGGTAAGTAGAAAAACTCAACTATAGGACCTGAAATCCCTTTAAGTAACCAAGGCTGAGTAATTTATTATTTAGAATAATTGATTGTCCCGAAACTTAATTACAGTAAAAACAAGTAAAAGTTGTCTAATAAAAAGGAACTCCTCCCACCAAATCAAAACTGACTTAAAAAATCGTAACATTTCGCCAGTCACTTTTATCCCATCCAATTGCATCGACTGGATTTCCATATTTGGACCCCTCGAATGTTAAGAACTTTTGTCCTCTGTGATCAGTAAGTATTCATTATTACTAAATAACAAATCAATCACCCACTGGCGGAGTGGTAATTGGCAACCACCCAATTAAGCATTTCTGTTTGCGAGTTGAGGAGAGCTGGGCAAGGTCAAAACTGTAGCCCAGTCGTGCTGGTAGGAGAAAATATTTTACGAATTAAGGCATTATGATGCCATCTCATTTAGTTGTATTAAAGATATCATTTTTAGTCTTTAATTCTACCAAATTGTCTTAAAATAAAAACTCTATTCATCTTATGCCGTCTAGCATTCTCTCCAAAAAGCTATCCTCCTTTCGATTGGACTGCATTGGACTGCAACTTCTGCCTCGCTCAGGTTCCATCAGCAATCCCAACGAAAATCGAACGCGGTACGCACCTAGTCCGAAGTAGTTGTCATGATTCCCAGCATCAGACAGTAGACTTGGTACATTCTCAAAGCA